GACCTGTTGAAATGCACCTGGTACCTCAGTTGGAGCTAGGAGATCTCTGGATTTCTGCGTCTCTCTCACTGGGTGTTGTGCGCTGGTGTTGTGTCTATTTGGCCATCTTGAAGAGTCTCTAACCACCGTTTTCATTGCAGCCCATAGATTTTGTTTTGGATGTTTTATATCACAGATTTTGATGTGATATTTTCACAGCATTCAGAATATTTTAAAATTTCTTTTGAGAGTTCTTCTTTGATACATATGTTATCTAGCAGTATGCTGTTTAACCTCCAAGTCTTTGGGGGATTTTCCAGCTGTCTTCCTGTTACCGACTTCTAATTTAATTCTGTTGTGGTCTGAGAGCAGACACTGTATGATTTCTATTCTTAAATTTGTCAGTATGTTTTATGACCCAGATGTAATTTCTTGAGGTGACTGTTCCAAGTGAGCTTGAGAAGAACGTACATTCTACTGTGTTGATAAACTTTGTATTTGTCAATCAAATCCAATTGATTGACTTATCAATGCTTTTTGAATCTAGTCATAAGGATGAGTGTGATATGCTATTTCACTGTGGTTTTGATTTGCATTCCCCTTAATGCAAAATCATTAAGGCTAATGATATTGAGCAACTTTTTATGTTCTTATTAGTCATTTGCACATCTTATTAGTCATATGATATACAATGACTAATAGACATTGAAGAAATGTCTATTTTGATACTTATTTTAGTTGAGTTGACTTTAATTGAGTTTTAAGAGTTTTTTTAATGTGGTCTAGATACAAGTTCTTTATCAGAATATGCTTTGCAAATATTTTCTCCTATTCTATGGTTTGTTTTATCACTTTCTTAATGGTATCCTTTAAAGCACAAAAGTTTTTAATTTTAATTAAATCCAACTTATTAATTTATTTTCTATTATTGCCCATATTTTTGATGTATCTAAGAAATCACTGCCTAAATCAAGGTCATGGGAATTTAATCCTATTTGTTATCTAAGAATTTTATAGTTGTAGCTCTTGCATTTAGGTCCATGATTCATTTTGCGTTAACTTTTTTTTTTTTTTCCCATTTATTTATTTTATTGCATTTTAGGTTTTGGGGTACATGTGAAGAACATGCAAAATTGTTGCATAGGAACACACGTGGCAGTGTGATTTGCTGCCTTCCTCCCCATCACCTACATCTGGCATTTCTCCCCTTGCTATCTCTCCCCAGCTTCCCACCCCCCACCATCCCTCCCCTATTTCCCCCCAACTGACCCCAGTGTGTAGTGCTCCCCTCCCTGTGTCCATGTGCTCTCATCATTCAACACCCGCCTATGAGTGAGAACATGCGGTGTTTGATCTTCTGCTCCTCTGTCAGTTTGCTGAGAATGATGGTTTCCAGGTTCATCCATGTCCCCACAAAGGACCCAAACTCATCGTTTTTTATGGCTGCATAATATTCCATGGTGTATATGTGCCACATTTTCCCTATCCAGTCTATCGTCGATGGGCATTTGGGTTGGTTCCAGGTCTTTGCTATTGTAAACAGTGCTGCAATGAACATTCGTGTACATGTGTCCTTATAGTAGAACGATTTGTAATCCTTTGGATATATACCCAGTAATGGGATTGCTGGGTCAAATGGAATTTCTATTTCTAGGTCCTTGAGGAATCGCCACACTGTCTTCCACAATGGTTGAACCAATTTACACTCCCACCAACAGTGCAAAAGTGTTCCTATTTCTCCACATCCTCTCCAGCATCTGTTGTCTCCAGATTTTTTAATGATCGCCATTCTAACCGGCGTGAGATGGTATCTCAGTGTAGTTTTGATTTGCATTTCTCTGATGACCAGTGATGATGAGCATTTTTTCATATGTTTGTTGGCCTCACGTATGTCTTCTTTTGAGAAGTGTCTGTTCATATCCTTTGCCCACTTTTGAATGGGCTTGTTAGTTTTTTTCTTGTAAATCTGCTTTAGTCCTTTGTAAATTTTGGATATCAGCCCTTTGTCAGATGGGTAAACTGCAAACATTTTTTCCCAATCTGTTGGTTGCCGATTCACTCTAATGATTGTTTCTTTTGCTGTGCAGAAGCTGTGGAGTTTGATTAGGTCCCATTTGTCTATTTTGGCTTTTGTTGTCAATGCTTTTGGTGTTTTGGTCATGAAGTCCTTGCCTACACCTACGTCCTGAATGGTTTTGCCTAGATTTTCTTCTAGGGTTTTTATGGTGTTAGGTCTTATGTTTAAGTCTTTAATCCATCTGGAGTTAATTTTAGTGTAAGGTGTCAGGAAGGGGTCCAGTTTCTGCTTTCTGCACATGGCTAGCCAGCTTTCCCAACACCATTTATTGAACAGGGAATCCTTTCCCCATTGCTTGTTTTTGTCTGGTTTGTCAAAGATCAGATGGTTGTAGAAAGGTTGTGTTGCCTCCGAGACCTCTGTTCTGTTCCATTGGTCTATATCTCTGTTTTGGTACCAGTACCATGCTGTTTTGATTACTGTAGCCTTGTAGTATAGTTTGAAGTCTGGTAGTGTGATGCCCCCAGCTTTGTTCTTTTTGCTTAGAATTGACTTGGCTATGCGGGCTCTCTTTTGGTTCCATATGAAGTTTAAGGTGGTTTTTTCCAGTTCTGCAAAGAAGGTCATTGGTAGCTTGATGGGGATAGCATTGAATCTGTAAATTACTTTGGGCAGTATGGCCATTTTCACGATATTGATTCTTCCTAACCATGAACATGGGATGTTTCTCCATCTGTTTGTGTCCTCTCTTATTTTGTTGAGCAGTGGCTTGTAGTTCTCCTTGAAGAGGTCCTTTACATTCCTTGTTAGTTGTATTCCTAGGTATTTTATTCTCTTTGTGGCAATTGTGAATGGAAGTTTGTTCTTGATTTGGCTCTCTTTAAGTCTGTTACTGGTGTATAGGAATGCATGTGATTTTTGCACATTGATTTTGTATCCTGAGACTTTGCTGAACTTGCTTATCAGTTTCAGGAGGTTTGGGGCTGAGACGATGGGGTCTTCTAGATATACAATCATGTCGTCTGCAAATAGAGACAATTTGACTTCCTCCTTTCCTATTTGAATGCCCTTTATTTCTTTTTCTTGCCTGATTGCTCTGGCTAGAACTTCTAATACTATATTGAATAGCAGTGGTGAGAGAGGGCATCCTTGTCTGGTGCCACATTTCAAGGGGAATGCTTCCAGTTTTTGCCCATTCAGTATTATACTGGCTGTTGGTTTGTCATAAATAGCTTTTATTATTTTGAGATACTTTCCATTGATTCCTAGCTTATTGAGTGTTTTTAGCATAAAGGGCTGTTGAATTTTGTCAAAGGCCTTCTCTGCATCAATTGAGATAATCATGTGGTTTTTGTCTTTGGTTCTGTTTATGTGGTGAATTACGTTTATAGACTTGCGTATGTTGAACCAGCCTTGCATCCCCGGGATGAAGCCTACTTGATCATGGTGGATAAGCTTTTTGATGTGCTGTTGCAATCGGCTTGTCAGTATTTTATTGAAGATTTTTGCATCTATGTTCATCATAGATATTGGCCTGTAGTTTTCTTTTCTTGTTGAGTCTCTGCCGGGTTTTGGAATCAGGATGATGTTGGTCTCATAAAATGATTTGGGAAGAATTCCCTCTTTTTGTATTGTTTGGAATAGTTTCAGAAGAAATGGTACCAGCTCCTCTTTGTATGTCTGGTAGAATTCAGCTGTGAACCCATCTGGACCTGGGCTTTTTTTGGGTGGTAAGCTCTTAATTGCTGCCTCAACTTCAGACCTTGTTATGGGTCTGTTCAGGGTTTCGGCTTCTTCCTGGTTTGGGCTTGGCAGGAGGCAAGTGTCCAGGAATTTATCCATTTCTTCCAGGTTTATTAGTTTGTGTGCATAGAGTTGTTTGTAATAATCTCTGATGATGGTTTGAATTTCTGTGGAATCTGTGGTGATATCCCCTTTATCGTTTTTTATTGCATCTATTTGGTTATTCTCTCTTTTCTTTTTTATTAATCTGGCTAGTGGTCTGTCTATTTTGTTGATCTTTTCAAAAAACCAGCTCCTGGATTTATTGATTTTTTGAAGGGTTTTTTGTGTCTCTATCTCCTTCAGTTCTGCTCTGATCTTAGCTATTTCTTGTCTTCTGCTAGACTTTGAGTTTTTTTGATCTTGCTCCTCTAGCTCTTTCAGTTTTGACGATAGGGTGTCAATTTTTGATCTCTCCTTGTTTCTCATGTGGGCACTTATTGCTATATATTTTCCTCTAGAGACTGCTTTAAATGTGTCCCAGAGATTCTGGTATGTTGTGTCTTCATTCTCGTTGGTTTCTAAGAACATCTTTATTTCTGCCTTCATTTCATTGTTTATCCAGTCAACATTCAAGGGCAAGTTGTTCAGTTTCCATGAAGCTGTGCGGTTCTGAGTTAGTTTTTGAATTCTGAGTTCTAACTTGATTGCACTGTGGTCTGAGAGACTGTTTGTTATGATTTCCGTTCTTTTGCATTTGCTGAGGAGTGATTTACTCCCAATTATGTGGTCAATTTTAGAGTAGGTGTGATGTGGTGCTGAGAAGAATGTATATTCTGTGGATTTGGGGTGGAGAGTTCTGTAAATGTCTATTAGGTTTGCTTGGTCCAGGTCTGAGTTCAAGTCCTGGATATCCTTGTTAATTTTCTGTCTGGTTGATCTGTCTAATGTTGACAATGGGGTGTTAAAGTCTCCCACTATTATTGTGTGGGAGTCTAAGTCTCTTTGTAAGTCATTAAGAACTTGCCTTATGTATCTGGGTGCTCCTGTATTGGGTGCATATATATTTAGGATCGTTAGCTCTTCTTGTTGCATTGATCCTTTTACCATTATGTAATATCCTTCTTTGTCTCTTATGATCTTTGTTGCTTTAAAGTCTAATTTATCAGAGATGAGAATTGCAACTCCTGCTTTTTTTTGCTCTCCATTTGCTTGGTAAATCTTCCTCCATCCCTTTATTTTGAGCCTTTGTGTATCCTTGCATGTGAGATTTTTTTTTTTTGACAAAAAAAAAATTTATTGCCATAAATTAATCCAGTAGGCATATCTAAGAAAGCACGCATCAGTTGGTTAGGGCAATAAGCGCCTCTACCACATTGCCCATGTGTTCCCGCAAGCTGCGTTCTGCTGCTGCTCGAGATATCTCCATCTCAGTCATTATCAGTTCCAGATCTTCCTTCTTGATAGTGACTTTTGCCAGTTCTTTCTCCCGCTCCTGTTTTGCTTTCTGCTCCCGGGACCTTCTGTCTCCAATCACAGACATGGCCGTCTCCAGATTGGAACTCTGGATCTCCTTCTCCTCTGCATAGTCGGTGACCCGCTCCAAGTCCGCCGCACCGCTGTCATGTTTCCGTGGCTTCTCGGGAGGTCGCTCTGGGCCACTGGTCTCGGTCTCTAACTCCAGCTCCACATCCCCCTCGGTCGCCATATCTATTTCACCACAGCGTTAACTTTTATGTATTATATGAAGCAGGGATCCAACTTTATTCTTTTGCTTGTGGATATCCAGTTGTTCTACAACCTTAGAAAAAGAATTAATTGGCCCTAAATGTAAGGGTACGTTTCTGAACTCTCAAGTCTATTTTATTGATCTATATATTTATCCTTGGAACAGTATTACACTATCTTAAATGGTGTAATTTATAAACTTCATCGTAACTTTTGAAATGAGTAAACTTTTTTAAGAATGCTTTGGTTATTTGGTGTCCCTTCCATTTCCATATGAATTACAGGATCAACTTTTTAAAATTTCTGCAAAGAATTCAATTGAAATTTTTATAGGGATTGTGTTGAATCCCTAGATCACTTTGGGGAGTAGTGCCATCTTAAGTCTTCTGATTCACAAACATGGGATGTCTTTTCATTTATTCGGGTCCTTGAAAATTTCTTTTAACAATTTTTCATCGTTTCATTTTCAGAGTCTAAGTTTTACACATTGTGTTAGAATTCTCCAAATAAATACAGTCACAGTAAATATGGGTAAATAATCCAAATAGACAGTTTTCAGGAAAAATGAAAATTACTAATGAGAACATAATTTGGGTATAAACTGTGTTTTATTTAGACACATTCTTCAAGACAACTCAGGTATAAACTTCTCAAAGACTTAGAATAGCTAGTTTCAAACATTGACTTGTGCTGCAGTGAATTAAGGCATGAGTATAAGGCTCTATTTTCCCTTTCAAAAACTTTTGCCATCTGGTTTTCAGTGGTCCCTTAACATAGTTTTCAGGCTATGAAATTCTGTACATCTTTATGAAGCTCAAGAATTGACCTTCGAGAGGGAAAAGTCTGATTTTATTATGCTGACACCACACATCATAAGTCTTATTTTGCTTGTAGATCTCATTCAATGTCATCGCCAACATGTGCAATAAGAGACAGGTCGTGTTTATGGCTAGAATATTTCTTTTATTTCCAGTTATAGTTTTCTCATAAAATCTCGATTGAAAATAATCTCCATGCAGTCATTGAATATTATTGCTTGAAACAGAAATGCTAAAACAATTTGCTTATTTGGAATCTTGAATTTTTCCAGCATTCTGAAGTGTCTCAGATAAAATATATCTTCTTAGCCAGAGCAATAGTATTGTAAGTCTGTGGCTTTTCTTGTCATGTATTTTATGGGATTGTGTTACCTTCATAATATATTTTGTATTCTTCCCACTTGTATTAGGATACAATGGGTAAATTCATTTTAAATCTCCTCTCCCAGATAATTTACAGCTATGACTGACATTTTCTGAAGAGTTTTGTATTAAAAAATAGAACGTCCCAGTGGGATCCAAAAATGGTAAGAAGCAGGGCCTGTATATCATTCTAAAATCCAAAACTTGCATCTTCAAAATTAGGTATTGTGTTTGTCTTATATCTATCATCTTTTTCTTTATGTCCAAGCCTCTTGTTGGACAGAGGTCAACCTGGCCATTGCACCGGGTAAGTAGGCTGTGAAGGAGATCTTGCCCTATATGGTCAAGGACAGAATAACCAATGGGTCCTTTGAAAGCCTTGAAGGTCAAGCCCTGGGACAAATGAAAAGGTTGAGAAGAAGAGTTCAGGGCAAGGCGCCAAAATCAAAGTCCAGTGGGGAGGAGACTGGCAGAGCTGGTAGAATAGGGGCATAGGAAGAATTATTTGGGTAATTTTAACAAATACAGTGAAAATATCTAGAACTTGGTATAAATAATTTGGTGCAATGGCATTACTGTGGTTTTGAAGTTGGCTCTAGGCTCACATCTTGCTTAATTAGTAGGTTTAGATAAGTCAGTTATTCCCTTTGTACCTGAGTTTCTCATCTATTAAATTAGCAGTGGCAACATTATAATCACAATCACTGTCTGTAATACCTGTAATGTGGTAGATACTTTATGTAAATAATCAGAGAAGTCGAATGAGATATTTTTTATTTTCCCTATTTTTCACATGTGGGAAACTGAGACTTAGAGAAGTTAAATAATTTACTCAAGGTCCTTTCCTACATCAAGAAAGTAATAGACCTAGGAATGTAATCCAGATGAATCAGATTCCGTAGTTCATTAGGCCATTGGATCAGAATGGCCTGGGCTTCATATTATCAGGAGCATCGTAGACTCTACTGTAGATTACATTAGCACCTCTGGGGATGGGGCCTAGGAAAGTGCATTTGACCTCACCACTTAGGTGATTAATTTTTCTTTCTTTCTTTTTTTTTAAATTGAGACAGTCTCACTCTGAGACCCAGGCTGGAGTGCAGTGGCATAATCTTGGTTTACTGCAACCTCTGCCTCTCAGGCTCAAGGGATCCTCCCACTTCAGCCTCCCAAGTAGCTGGAACTGCAGGCATGTACCACCACGCCTGGCTAATTTTTGTATTTCTTTGTAGAGGCAGGATTTTGCCATATTTCCCAACCTGGTCATGAATTTCTGGACTCTAATGATCCTCCTGCCTTGGTATCCCAAAGTGTTGGGATTATAGGCATGAGCCACTGTGCCCAGCCTTAGGTGATTCTTATGCTCTACCTACTTTGTAGTCTTGTCACCCAAGATGTGATCTGTGGCCCAGGACCATCAGAATCACCTGGGAGCTTATTAGAAGTGCACATTCTTGCCAGGTGTGGTTGCTCACACTTGTAATCCTAGTACTTTGGGAGGCTGAGGTGGGTGGATTGCCTGAGCTCAGGAGTTTGAGACCAGCCTGGGCAACATGGTGAAACCCCATCTCTACTAAAATACAAAGAATTAGCCAGGTGTGGTGGCATGTACCTGTAGTCACAGCTACTCAGGAGGCTGAGACAGGAGAATTGCTTGAACCCAGGAGGCAGAGCTTGCAGTGAGCCAAGATCTTGCCACTGCACTCCAGCCTGGGATCCAGAGGGGGACTCCATCTCCAAAAAACAAAAAAGAACAAATGATTGGATACTACCGAAGCCCTACTGAATTAGGATATACATTCTAATACGGTTATACATTAGAATGTATATCCTGAATTAAGATATACATTCTAATGCGGTTCCCAGGTGATTCATAAGGCTAGGAAAGACCTGCTTATCAGGGTGATTTGAGGATTAGAGACACTAAATATAAAGGTTCTCGAATATCTAGGTGCTCAACAAATAGTCTGATCATTTCCCTTCTTGATCAAGTAGAAGGTGATGTTCTGGGAGGGCCTACAACTATAGAGCTAAGGTAAACAATTGTTTTGTTTCCCTTTCCTTTGGGATCTATGCCTAGCACTAGCATGTTACTTCCCAGTTTTCCAGTAAATTCTCCCCAAACATCTATCCTAAAACTTATCGTGTTCTAGAATTTTTACTGTCACATCTCTTCCAACACCTCAGTTTGGAATCAGAAGATCTAGGTTTGACTTTTGTCTTTGCTAATTATTAAGTCTGTGACTTTGGGAAAATCAACCCTTTTGAGCGTCAGTTTAATCATATATAAAAATAGAATAATGATGATCAAAATAATACATTTTATCAAACTAAAACCCAAGAGTTTAGTCCTATTTGGTTAGGGTATCCATTGGACAAGTAAGCAGGGAACATAGAAAAGTATCAGATTCTATTCTAATAGAATATTTTTCCCTAAATTCTAAACATCAATTCTTTAAATAAATTTTGCAAAATTATCTGTTCTATTGTAAAGTGTCTGTTCATATCCTTTGCCCACTTTTGAATGGTTTTCTTTGTTTTTTTCTTGTGAATATGTTTTAGTTCTTTGTAGATTCTGGATATTAGCCCTTTTTCAGATGGGTAGATTGCGAAAAATTTTCCCCATTCTGTTGGTTGCCAGTTCACTCTAATGATTGTTTCCTTTGCTGTACAGAAGCTCTGGGTTTAATTAGATCACATTTGTCTATTTTGGCTTTTGTTGCCATTGCTTTTGGTGTTTTAGCCATGAAGTCCTTGCCTATCCTTATGTCCTGAACCTAGGTTTTGCCTAGATTTTCTTCTAGGGTTTCTATGGTGTTAGGTCTTATGTTTAGATCTTTAATCCATCTGGAGTTAATTTTAGCATAAGGTGTCAGGAAGGGGTCCAGTTTCTGCTTTCTGAACATTGCTAGCCAGTTTTCCCAACACCATTTATTAAACAGGGAATCCTTTCCCCATTGCTTGTTTTTCTCAGGTTTGTCAAACATCAGATGATTGTAGAGATGTGGTGTTTCTTCTGAGGCCTCTGTTCTGTTCCATTGGTCTATATCTCTGCTTTGGAACCAGAACCATGCTGTTTTGATTATAGTTTGAAGTCGGGCAGCATGATGCCTCCAGCTTTGTTCTTTTTGCTTTGGATTGTTTTGGCTATGCAGGCTCTCTTTTGGTTCCATATGAAGTTTGAAGTGGTTTTCTTCCAGTTCTGTGAAGAAGGTCATTGGTAGCTTGATGGGGATAGCGTTAAATCTATAAGTTACTTTGGGCAGTATGGCCATTTTCACAATGTTGATTCTTCCCAACCATGAGCATGGAATGTTTATCCACCTGCTTGTGTCCTCTTATTTCATTGAGCAGTGGTTTGTAGTTCTCCTTGAAGAGGTCCTTTATATCCTTTGTTAGTTGTATTCCTAGGTATTTTATTCTCTTTGTAGCAATTGTGAATGGGAGTTCGCTCTTGATTTGGCTCTTTGTCTGTTGTTGGTGTATAGAAATGCTTGTGATTTCTGCACATTGATTTTGTATACTGAGAGTTTGCTGAAGTTGCTTGTCAGTTTCAGAAGATTTGGGGCTGCACGTGTACTCCAGAACCTAAAGTATAATAAAACAAATTATCTGTTCTATTCTGATGACAAAAATCTACTTTTAACAAAATGTTCTATAATCAAAACAATGAATTTAGATCTGAACTCATAAAATTTAAAATTTGCTAGGATCCTGAAGAAATCATGCAGTCCAAGTTCTTGATTTTTTGGTAATAGAAACAAGAATTAAGTGACTTTCTTAATGACACCAAGGTAGTTAATTGATATAA